ACACGGCGGGGGGGGACACAGGTTTGTGCGACACGTGTGACGTGTGTGGGGACACGTGTGCAGGGCATGGACATGCCTGGAAGATGTGTGTGGGCGTGGGGACACGTGTGTGCAGTGCATGGACATGCCTGGAGCACGTGTGTGGGCGTGGGGACACGTGTGTGCAGTGCATGGACATGCCTGGAGCACGTGTGTGGGCGTGGGGACACGTGTGTGCAGTGCATGGACGTGCCTGGAGCACATGTATGGGCATGAAGACACGTGTGTGCAGGGCATGGACATGCCTGGAGCACGTGTATGGACATGAAGACACGTGTGTGCAGTGCATGGACATACCTGGAACATGTGTGGGGGTGTCGGGACACACGGGTGCAGTGCATGGACACGCCTGGAGCACATGTATGGGCGTGGGGACACGTGTGTGCAGTGCATGGACATGCCTGGAACATGTGTGGGCATGAAGACACATGTGTGCAGTGCATGGACATGCCTGGAGCAGGTGTGTGGGCATGGGGACATGTGTCTGCAGTGCATGGACATACCTCGAGCATGTGTGTGGCTCTGGGGACATGTGCGTGCAGTGCATGGACATGCCTGGAGCACATGTGTGGGCGTGGGGACATGCGTGTGCAGTGCATGGACATAGCTGGAACATGTGTGTGGCATGGGGACACGTGTGTGCAGTGCGTGGACATGCCTGGAGCAGGTGTGTGGGCGTGGGGACATGTGTGTGCAGTGCATGGACATACCTGGAGCATGTGTGTGGCTCTGGGGACATGTGTGTGCAGTGCATGGACATGCCTGGAGCACATGTGTGGGCGTGGGGACATGTGTGTGCAGTGCATGGACATGCCTGGAGCACATGTGTGGGCGTGGGGACATGCATGTGCAGTGCATGGACATAGCTGGAACACGTGTGTAGCACGGGGACACGTGTGTGCAGTGCGTGGACATGCCTGGAGCACATGTGTGGCTGTGGGGACACGTGTGTGCAGTGGGGACATGTTTATGCAATGCAGGGACATGCCTAGGGTACATGTGTGCATTTGTAGATGCATGTGTGCAATGCAGGGACATGCCTTGAGCACACATGTGGGCACAGGGACACGCATGTAAGTGTGGTGACACACCAGCAGCATGTGTGTGGGCTTGGGGACACGTGTGCAGTGCATGGACATGCCTGGAGCACATGTGTGGGCGTGGGGACACGTGTGTGCAGTGCATGGACATGCCTGGAGCATGTGTGTGGGCGTGGGGACATGTGTGTGCAGTGCATGGACATAGCTGGAACACATGTGTGGCATGGGGACATGTGTGTGCAGTGCATGCACATAGCTGGAACACATGTGTGGCATGGGGACATGTGTGTGCAGTGCATGCACATAGCTGGAACACATGTGTGGCATGGGGACATGTGTGTGCAGTGCATGCACATAGCTGGAACACATGTGTGGCATGGGGACATGTGTGTGCAGTGCATGCACATAGCTGGAACACATGTGTGGCATGGGGACATGTGTGTGCAGTGCATGCACATAGCTGGAACACATGTGTGGCATGGGGACATGTGTGTGCAGTGCATGCACATAGCTGGAACACATGTGTGGCATGGGGACATGTGTGTGCAGTGCATGCACATAGCTGGAACACATGTGTGGCATGGGGACATGTGTGTGCAGTGCATGCACATAGCTGGAACACATGTGTGGCATGGGGACATGTGTGTGCAGTGCATGCACATAGCTGGAACACATGTGTGGCATGGGGACATGTGTGTGCAGTGCATGCACATAGCTGGAACACATGTGTGGCATGGGGACATGTGTGTGCAGTGCATGCACATAGCTGGAACACATGTGTGGCATGGGGACATGTGTGTGCAGTGCATGCACATAGCTGGAACACATGTGTGGCATGGGGACATGTGTGTGCAGTGCATGGACATGCCTGGAGCAGGTGTGTGGGCATGGGGACATGCGTCTGCAGTGCATGGACATACCTGGAGCATGTGTGTGGCTCTGGGGACATGTGTGTGCAGTGCATGGACATGCCTGGAGCACATGTGTGGCTGTGGGGACACGTGTGTGCATGTGGGGACATGCTTATGCAATGCAGGGACATGCCTAGGGTACATGTGTGCATTCGTAGACGCGTGTGTGCAATGCAGGGACATGCCTTGAGCACACATGTGGGCACAGGGACACGCATGTAGGTGTGGTGACACACCAGCAGCATGTGTGTGGGCTTGGGGACACGTGTGTGCAGTGCATGGACATGCCTGGAGCACGTGTATGGGCATGAAGACACGTGTGTGCAGTGCATGGACATACCTGGAACGTGTGGGGGTGTCGGGACACACGGGTGCAGTGCATGGACACGCCTGGAGCACATGTGTGTGGGCGTGGGGACATGTGTGTGCAGTGCGTGGACATAGCTGGAACACATGTGTGGCATGGGCACATGTGTGTGCAGTGCGTGGACATAGCTGGAACACATGTGTGGCATGGGCACATGTGTGTGCAGTGCGTGGACATAGCTGGAACACATGTGTGGCATGGGCACATGTGTGTGCAGTGCGTGGACATAGCTGGAACACATGTGTGGCATGGGCACATGTGTGTGCAGTGCGTGGACATAGCTGGAACACATGTGTGGCATGGGCACATGTGTGTGCAGTGCGTGGACATAGCTGGAACACATGTGTGGCATGGGCACATGTGTGTGCAGTGCGTGGACATAGCTGGAACACATGTGTGGCATGGGCACATGTGTGTGCAGTGCATGGACATGCCTGGAGCATGTGTGTGGGCATGGGGACACGTGTGCGTATGGGGACATACCTGGAGAACATGTGTGGGCATGGGGACATGTGTGTGCAGTGCATGGACCTGCCTGGAACATGTGTGGGGGTGTCGGGACACATGTATACAGTGCATGGACATGCCTGGAGCACATGTGTGGGCATGGGGACACGTGTGGCTGTGATGACACGTGTGCAGTGCATGGACATGCCTGGAACACATGTGAGGGTGTTGGGACATGCGTGTGCAGTGCGTGGACATAGCTGGAACATGTGTGTGGCATGGGGACACGTGTGTGCAGTGTGTGGACATGCCTGGAGCACATGTGTGGGCATGAAGACACGTGTGTGCAGTGCATGGACGTACCTGGAGCACGTGTATGGGCATGGGCACATGTGTGTGCAGTGCATGGACATACCTGGAGCACGTGTGTGGGCATGGACACGTGTGTGTGCAGTGCATGGACATGCCTGGAACACATGTGGGGGTGTAGGGACACGTGTGTGCAATGCATGGACATGCCTGGAACACGTGTGGGGGTGTCAGGACACGTGTGTGCAGTGCGTGGACATACCTGGAGCAGGTGTGTGGGCATGGGGACATGTGTGTGCAGTGCGTGGACATGTCTGGAGCACTTGTGTGGGCTTGGAGACATGCGTGTGCAGTGCACAGACATGCCTGGAGCATGTGCGTGCACTTGGGGACACGTGCATGCTAGGACCTGTGTGTGCAATGCAGGGATGTGTCTGGGGCATATGTGTGCACATGGGAACATGTGTGTGCATGGGGAAACATGGATGTGTGATGCAGGGATGTGCCTGGAGCACGTGTGTGGGCACAGACAGGCATGTGGGTGTGGGGACATGCGTGTGCGATGAAGAGATGTGCCTGGAGCACTTGTGTGTGCATAGGGACATGCTTGTGCACGTGAGGACACGTGTGTGCAATGCAGGGATGTACCTGGAATGTGTGTATGGGAGTGGGGACACACGTGAGCATGTGAGGCCACACATACGGAATGCAGGGACATGCCAGGAGCATGTGTACACACGTGTGCAGTGCAGGGACACGCCAGGAGGTTGTGTATACACGTGTGCATGCAGGGACACGTGTGCAGTGCAGGGACACGCCAGGAGGTTGTGTACACACGTGTGCATGCAGGGACACGTGTGCAGTGCAGGGACATGCCAGGAGGTTGTGTACACACGTGTGCATGCAGGGACATGTGTGCAGTGCAGGGACACACCAGGAGGTTGTGTACACACGTGTGCATGCAGGGACACGTGTGCAGTGCAGGGACATGCCAGGAGGTTGTGTACACACGTGTGCATGCAGGGACACGTGTGCAATGGAGGGACGCGCCTGGAGCACATGTATGACTGTGTGGACACGTGCAGTGCAGAGACATGCCTGTATGTATGGGGACACCTGGCGGGACACACACACACACACATGTACACGTGGGGACAGACGTGTGCAACGCAGGGACGGGGCATCTCCCCCCTGGCTGGGCAGCCTGGGCCTTGTCTCACCACCCTCAGGAGGTTCAGGACCCTGCTCATCCAGCCCCGTCCCCGGGGGGTTCCTGCTGGTGGAACACCCCCCTGCCAACCAAACTGGTCCTTTGGGGCCCACCACGGGGAAGATCTGAGATGTTTCTACCACCCAACCCTCCCTCCCCCCACAAAGGAGTGTGTCCAGAGGAGAGCCACCAAGCTGGTGAGGGGTCTGGAGAACAAGTCCTATGAGGAGAGGCTGAGGGAACTGGGCCTGTTTAGTTTGGAGAAGAGGAGGCTGAGGGGAGACCTCATTGCCCTCTACAACTCCCTGACAGGAGGGTGCAGAGAGGTGGGGGTTGGCCTCTTCATCCAAGGGAATAACGACAGGAGCAGAGGAAATGGTCTGAAGGTGCAGCAGGGGAGGTTTAGATTAGATATTAGGAAGAATTACTTTACTCAAAGAGTGGTCAGGCCCTGGAACAGCCTGCCCAGGGAGGTGGTGGAGTCACCATCCCTGGAGGTATTTAAGAAACGTGTAGACGTGGCTCTTCAGGGCCTGCTCTAGTGCCCGAGATTATTGGTTTGTGGTGGGGTGTTGTGTGTGGGGTTGTGGGTGTGGGGTTTAGTTGGTGGGTGGTGGTTTTGGGTTTGTTGTTTTTGTGGTGGTTGTGTGGGGTTTTTTTTGGTTTTTCTTGTATGTTTGTTTGGTTTTTTGTTTGTTTTTTTTTGTTGTTGTTGTTTTTTGTGGTTGGACTCGATGATCTCGGAGGTCCCTTCCAACTACTAAGATTCTGTGATGCTGCGAAAGGGGTAAAGCAAGAGGACTCCACGTAAACCAGTAACACACAGGATCACCATCAGCCCTTAGACAAGGGTTTTCAAAGAGTTCAAACACAACAGTTTGGGTTGGAAGGGACCTTAAAGATCATCTGGTGCCAAGCCCTTGCCCTGGGCAGGGACACCTCCCACCAGACCAGGTTGCTCCAAGCCCTCTCCAACCTTGAACCCCTCCAGGGATGGGGCAGCCACAGCTTCTCTGGGCAACCTGGGCCAGGCTCTCACCACCCTCACACCAAACTATTTCCTCCCCACAACTCAGAGAGTGTGAACTGTTTGATTTCTGCTCCGCTTTAGCAAAAAAGGATTCTCTTTAATTAGAATTCACTCCTCTTATTACTGCTTTAATTAATTTTAACTACTTAATTAACAATTTTAATTTATTCTAAATTGCTGTGGATTTGGGTTTGGGTAAGTTTCAGATTTCTTTACCTCATCACTGTGTTTTAAAAGGTTAGCGTGCATTCATTCCTTCTTATCTTTTAAATATAGATTAATTGCTATTAATTCTGAGATGACCAGACTGATTTGGAATTGTTGCATGTTAATATTTTTAATGCTTGACATTCTTTATTTTTCCAGGCTTTCCCATAAAGTTTAGCTTGAATGCCCTGCCTGCAGTTTAAAATCTTTTTTTTTTTTTTTGCCTTTTTCCCCAGTAGCATGGATATTATTTAAAAAAAACCCAACTTTAAAATATCTAAAACAATATACTTTTTTTCTGTTTTTCTCCAGATCTTAACTAACCAAACACTGCTTATAATGTTTAATGCCTTTTAACATGATGAAATATGAATTTCTGAAATACAGATGATGCCATTTTTAACTAACAGTTCACCCATGTCAAGGCCTTTACGAACATATTTGTTATCTAATTTTTAATAATTATTTAAGCCAGTATGCTTACTTTGTGGAGGCAGGGAAGCCTACAGTTATCTCCTAAGTGTTGATTATAAAACACCAGATAGATTTCTTCTAGGTTCATTCTGAAAATTACAGCTACCCGCTCGGATTGCAAAGAAAAAAAAAAATTTGGCAATAATTTGAGGTTTTCCCTGTAGTTTTTAGTTTTGCTTAACTGATTTCTTAACTGGAAGCAGGGAAGGTGATGGGTTAATTTAAATTCCTATTCCACTGTTGACCTGCTGCCCGGGGGTGGGTTAACATTCCTCTTTGAAGTGCTTAAACATTTCTTAATCCCCTTTTCTCTCCTGTTTGCTTGGAAAACAAAGCAGGACCCAAAGGGAAATTGCTGCTTTAATTTGTTGTTTAAAAAAACCAAACAACTGTCCTGTGCACTCAAAGCCAATATTTACTGTTTCAAACAGTCTGTGCACATCCCATGAGCTTATTTTTCTGTTTTTCCGTCCTTTTACCAGCATATTACATAAAATTTCCAACATAGCAGTCCTTTGGCAAGAAAGCAGAATACTTGCTGCATTCCTAGGGGAACGTGTAGAAAATACTTGGAATTTTGCAGACGCTGCTGCGTGGCTGCCCTTATTTACATCAGGCATTGGTTGCTTCTAATTAATGGCATTAAAGGTCTCTGTCCTTGGATCTACAGCAGCCCAAAGAGTGCTGCAGAGGAGGAAGAACTTCTCCTCTTCCTCTCCCTGTAGCGCAATCATGAAGGTTTTTCCTGAAAAAGAAGGTTTGCCCCGTCCCTTTATTGCTGGACCAGCATCTCTGCCTTTCCTGGAAAGGCTTTATTTTTTATTTCTATTGAGTCATTTCAATAATCCATTTTTAATGGATTTGTGAAATTTACTGGAAAATTTACTGGGAAAGGATCTTCAGCTGAGGGAACTCGTTTAGGAGTATATTTGGAAGAAAAGGGGGAGAGTTAGGTGGGAATTCAAAGGGGCATGGGAGAAAAGTGGTATTCTTGGGGTTCAGGGCAGAGGACACCAGATGCCAGCTTCCCACCCCACCGTGCTCCCAAAAGGACCTGCACTGGTCCACCCCAGCCCACCCACCCCATTCCAGGGAGTGGGATGTCCTCTGGATCCTCTGGACTTTGGGTCCTGTTAATCATTGCTCCAGAATGGTGGCCACAAGGGCAGAAAACTTTTCTCTCCCCTTTTTATTCTCCCTCCAGTTCCTGGAACCTCTGAGGACCTGCAGCTCCTGGAGCAGAGCAAGGCTGGCTTTTGGCTACCAGACAAGGAAGCTCTACCTCCTGTCCCCCTGACTGGCCAGACATCCTGCAAAGATGGCTGCTTGCCACCCCTCCAAGCTGTGAGGACAGGTGAACACACGAGGCAGAGACGGGAGGTTGGTCCATCAGGAAGAATTTTAGAATCATAGGATGGTTTGGGTTGGAAGGGACCTTAAAGATCATCAGGTTTCAATCCCCCCACCTCCCACCAGACCAGGTTGTTCAAACCCCCATCCAACCTGGCCTTGAACCCCTCCAGGGATGGGGCATTCACAGCTTCACTGGGCCAACCTGGGTGCGTGAGCCGATGCAGGCAGGACGCAGGAACAGCCACAAAACCATGGATTAAGGGCAAAGAACAAATTTAATGTCAATACCTCATGGATGGGGGAACCTCTGAAGCAGCAGCCGGGCAGAGGCGGGCAAGCAGGGGACGCAGGCACCGCGGAGTGAGAGTCCTTATTAGCAAGAGAGTCCTCATTAGCAAGGGAGTGAGGGAGCGAGGGAGCTCCCACTTGCTGTTTGGGGTGTATTTCAAGGATTCTGGCAGGCAGAGATTTCTGCTGGGCTTTGATCTCTCCAACAGCAGGGCAGGAATCTCAGGTGTGTTTGAGAAGGTGCCCCTGAGCCCATCCCAGGCCTCTGTTCCCTGAGTGCAGATGTTCTACTTGTTGAGCACACAAAACTGAACATCAATGAGTGTGATAGATGTGTTTTCCAGCACCCCACATGCGAGTCACTGGGCCAGGGTCTCTTCACCCTCATAGAGAAAATTTTCTTCCTGATATTTAACCTAAATCTCCCCTCTTCCATTTTGAACCCATTCCCCCTCGTCCTATCGCTACACATCCCTGTAAATGTAAACTTAGCCCAAAAGCTCCTTAAATGCCCCGCGAGCCAGGAATCCCCCATTCACACAACTTGCTGTTGAGGCAGGGTCCCCATGAGGAAGGACCGGAGAGTATCCAGGTGGGTTGTCCCATAATGCACATCCCATACCCCCAGCATCTCCTGATTCTGGGAATATGGGATGGCTGGAACTCCTCTTTAGGACCTGCTGAGGGGGGCAGAAGGTTTTTGGTTTGGAGTCAGCACCCTGACCCTGTCTCTCTCTCTCTCCCCATCGCAGTGGCGCAGAGCTGCCTCACCTCATCCTCATCCTCATCCCCATCCCCACCCCGGCGCGATGCCGGTCCAGTACGTGACGTACGAAGGCATTAAGTTCCCCCCCGCCTACAACTCCGAGCAGAGCTTGAGTTTTGCCCACAATGAATTCCTGGTGCGGGACGATGACATCTTCAATGTCACCTACCCCAAGTCTGGTATGAGGGGTGGACAGCAGGGTTGGCCAAGGGTGGAGAGGGGCAGGAGAGAGAGGGGCGGGGGTTTTGGAGACATCTCCAGGTCTTCTTCAGAGGGTGAATCTTCTCTTGTGGTGGAGAACAGGAATGTTTTTGGGGGAGATTTACCGCAGTGGTTGTGCATGGGCAGGGCAGGATCATCTCTTGGGGCACAGACTCAGTGCTGAGGATGCTGCTGATTAGGCCAGGTCCACTGCCCTACGTCTCTGGCAGGCACCGTGTGGATGACTGAGATCCTGAGCCTCATTTGCAGCCATGGCTGCCCCAGCTGGAGCCGAGGTGTCCTCAATTCTGACCGCATGCCCTGGTTCTCAACCCGACTGGGTCTGGAGTCAGCCCTCAGCTACCCTTCACCTCGCTTGCTGACCTGCCATCTCCCCAGGCACATCTTCCCCAAGTCCTTCTCCCACTCCAGTGCCAAGGTGAGATGGGCACCCATGCAGAGCTTCAAGGGGAATGGAGGGCAGATGAGGGGGGAGGGGAGGGGGGAAGGGGAAAGAAGGTGGGAGGGAAGGGAGGCTGGGAAGACTATTGCTCAGGATCTGAGGAACCTTGGATAGAAGGGTGTTGGGTGAGGACCTTGGTCTTGGCCTAGGAGAGTGGCAAGTGTCCTTCATGCCCTCAGTATCTAAATACTCCAAGCCCCATCTCACGTCCTGCCCCTCTTGGATATTTTGGAGAGTCTCCAGTGGCTCTAGGGGGCTTGTGTGTTCATGGAGACCCTTGCCCAAGGTCTGCATGAGCAGCACAGAGTTTGTCCTTGTGTGGCAGACCCCTCCTTTTTCAGAGGAACCCTGGTGCCGGGGCCTGCAACTCCCCTTCCCTTACTGGGAGCGTATCGCTTGTGTACACGCTCTACCCCAGGTTATTTACACCCTACGGGATCCTCGAGATGTTGTTGTATCCTACTACTACTTCTCCAAGATGTGCAACAGCTATGAGGATCCCACGTCCTTTGAACAGTTCTTGGGGGACTTTCTGAGTGGAGAGTGTGAGTGACGCTTGGGGCTTACTTTGGGGGTGGGTGGGTGGTGTCTCTCATCATTTCTGGCTCAAGGGTCTTCTGCTGCTGTCCACAAGTAACGGCTGTGAAGGCAATGTTCCCACAGGAGAAGGGGTGAATGGCTCAAGAGGAAAGCAAAGCAACTCTGGAGAGACATACAGGTCCACAAAGCCCTGCTGTGCTTTGAAGATGGAAAGTAGATTTCCATGCCTTCTCCTGCAGAGTTCAGACGTCTTCAGGAAGTCTTGGCCAAGAAACCCTATAAAGCCCTGCCATGAGCCTTGCACTCCTCTATCCTCAACCTTTTCTCACCATGGAAATGGCTGGAGAAGAGCCCATTGCTCAGCTGCAATTGCAGTTCAGCCTCTCAGTCCCACCTGCTCCCTGGACACCATTGTCCTGCACGTCCTGCCACGTCCTACGTTGTGGCTGCTCTCCCCCCACAACCTTGTGTGAGCCCTCCTTGTGTGAACATCCCCTGCCCTGCCCTGCCCTGACCTACTGCCTTTTGCCTCCCATCAGTGCCCCATGGCTCCTGGTTCGAACATGTCCAAGGCTGGATGGAGATGAAGGACATGGAGAATTTCTTCTTCATCACCTATGAAGAGCTGAAGCAGGTACACACCTATTGCAAACCCTCCGGCTCTAAATGTCACAAGCCACTTGGTGGTAACATGCTCTGTGTGTCCTTCCAGGACCTGCATGGCAGTGTGAGACGTCTCTGCCAGTTCCTGGGGCAGGATTTGGATGAGGAGGCCATCTCCTCAGTGGTACAAAATGCCTCCTTCACAGCCATGCGGGAGAACCCAATGTGCAGCTCCATCCTGCTCCCTGCAGACATCATGGACCAGACAAAGGGCCAGTTCCTGAGGAAGGGTGAGCAATAGGGATCCCATCACAACACCTTGGGGAGACCTCCCATCAGGCGTCCTCACCCATGAAGACAGCCAGAGCGAGGGTGTCTTGGAGAGCTGGATCGCAGTGCTTTTGGGTCTGAAGAACGGGGTCCATAGAATCGTAGATAGAATCATAGAATGGTTTGGGTTGGAAGGGACCATTAAAGGCCATCTAGTCCAACGCCTCTGCAATGAGCAGGAACATCTTCAACTGGATCAGACTGCTCAGAACCCTGTCCAACCTGACCTTGAATGTTTCCAAGAATGGGGGTGGTCTCTCATTTTGGACAACCCCTTTGGGGTGGTAGCTGGACCCAAGAGCTGAGCCTCTCCCTTTGTGCCTAAAGAGCAAAGAGTGGGGCTGCGTGGTGGGGTTGGCTCTGAGACCAAAACGTTTCTTCCTCAGGCATCTGTGGGGACTGGGAGAACCATTTCACAGTGGCGCAGAGCGAAACCTTCAACAAGATCTACCAAGAGAGGATGCAAGGGCTGAACATGAAATTTCCTTGGGACAGGCATTAGGATTCATCCTTATCTGAAGCCAGCTGAGAACCGGGTATAAACCAGCCACCGACAACCGGGGTAACTGGCTGCTGTTGGACAGAGAGGGTTGTACCCAGGGCTGAAAATGGTGCAAGCAATTAACAGCAGCGTGCAAGCAATATTTATCAAATCATAGCATCATAGAATCATTTAGATTGGAAAAGACTGTTAAGATCATCGAGTCCCACCATCAGCCTAACACTGGCGAGGTACCACTGCACCATGTCCCGAAGTGCCACATCTACACGTCTTCTAAACACCTCCCGGGATGGTCACTCAACCACTTCCCTGGGCAGCCCATTCCAGTGCTTGATAACCCTTCCAGTGAATAAATTTTTCCTACTATCCATCCTAAACCTCCCCTGGCACAGCTTGAGGCCATTTCCTCTTGTCCTATCACTTGTTCCTTGGGAGAGGGGACTGACCTCCCCCTGGCTACATCCTCCTTTCAGGCAGTTGTAGAGGGCGATAAGGTCTCCCCTCGGCCTCCTTCCCTCAGCCAATCCCACTTCCCTCAGCTGCTTGACACAAGACCTTTGCTCCACACCCTTCACCGGCTTTGTTGACCTTGTCTAGACACGCTCCAGCACTTTATGCTGTGCTCTGACACTCTTTCTCCTTGGGAGAGCTGTTTCTCCTGGATTGTGCTTCTCCTCTCTGTCCCATCCCTTGACCCTTTTTCCGCTGAGGCGGTCTCCAGGGTCTCCCAGGGCAGAACCCACCTCCCTGCCCTCCAACACATCCCTCTTCTGCAGGCAAAGGAGAGCAACACACACAGATGAACACCGTGTTTCCTGCCTGTCACATCCACTGGCCAGGGCACCTTGTTTGGGAGCTGCAACCAGCCAGAATGTTCTCTTGGGGGTGCCCGTCAAGCAGGAGAGCGGCAGGGAAAATGGGAAGGACCACTGGAAGGCCTTCAGGTATTTCAGGTGTGCTGCCAGTGCTAGCACAAATGATGAGATGATGATAACAATAATAACAACAATAATAATAATAAACAATAATAATAATAATAACAATTAAAAGTGTAAGCAAAAGCAGGACTACCTGTCTACCAGACCCTGGCGACGTGGAAGCCCAGTCCATTCCTTGCACGGGATGGGTTCAATAGCAAGATATTCCCTCCACTTTCTGAGCCAAGAACAGGAACCTTTCAACTGCACAGGACACAAATTTTTCTGAACACCCCCAGCTCCCTCAGCTGCTCCAAATAAGACTTATCCTCCAGACCCCTCACCAGCTCCGTTGCCCTTCTCTGGACACGCTCCAGCACCTCAATGTCTTGCTTGTAGGTAGGGACCTAAAAATGGACACAGCACTTGAGGTGGGGCCTCACCAGTACCAACTACAGAGGGGTGGTCACTGGCCCAGTCCTGCTGGCCACACTATTCCTGGTACAGGCCAGGATACTGTTGGCTTTCTTGGCCACCTGGGCACACTGCTGGCTCATATTCAGCCAGCTCTCAACCAACACCCCCAGGTCCTTTTCTGCTGAGCACCTTTCCAGCCACTCTTCCCCAAGCCTGTAGTCTTCATGGGGTTGTTCTGATCCTAAGGACAGGACCCGGCTCTTGGCCTTGTTGATCCTCAAACCATTGGCCTTGGCCCATCCATCCAGCCTGTCCAGATCCCTCGGTAGAGCCTTCCTACCCTCAAGCAGGTCAACACTCCTTCCCCACTTGGTGTTTTCTGCAAACTGGCTGAGGGTGCACTCAATCCACTTGTCCGTGTCATTGAGAAATCTATTAAAAATATATTATTAGCTATATTTTAAAATGTCATTACAAAGGTATGTTTCCAGTCTCCACGCTGCAGATGCTGAGCTCCTTACAAAGCCCTCACACGTGGGTGAGCCGGTGAGGGCAGGCAGGCTGAGCCCTGGCCACCACAGCGTCCAAATGACAAACCTCCCCGTCAGCCTGTGACCATAAAGCCATGCACTAAATCAGCAACAGCCACAAAGAGGCTGAATTTATACAAACAAATAAGTATTTCAGCAAAAGGTCAGGATGGCCTCAGCAAGAGAAAAGCAGACTAAGCCAAGACTCGGCAGCCACCTCTCAGTTGGGCTGAAAAGTTGGGAAGCAAAAGGCAGAAGCAGCAACCCGAGACAGAAAAGCTGAGGAAAAGTAACACCTGCCCTGAAAATTTCAGATTCCCGAGGAGCCAGCAGGGACAGTTGAAAAGGGAAAGGGTGGGCAGGGGCTTCTGAGCGCTCCGGTCACCCTGAGCTGTGCCACAAGTAGCTGTGCATGGAGAGAATCTCCAGGAGCTTGCCCGGGTTGGAGGGGTTTAGAATAGAAGCAGACGAGATCTCAGGCAGCCTTGACAGCACTCCCAGGTCGGAGCAAGGGAGCCCAGACCACCAGAACAAGCAGAAGGGACCATGGACCTGTAGGAACAGCAATTGTCAGAGAAGCTCCTTACAGATTCCACGAAGGAAGACAATAGCAGATAGGATAGCTCAGACAATAAAAATCAATGGTGCAAAATCCCCCTAAGATTAAGTGCCTAGGAGTATTTATAAAAATAAAAAAGGTGTTCTCTCCTTTGATGATGAATGCTATTTAAAAAAAAAATAATAAAAAGGTAGATGTAACACAAATACCCACTGGTACGACTACTAGTGCTACTAGAATATCCTCTCCACTTTCCAAGCCAAAAATGGGAACTCTTCAAATGCACAGGACCTGTCCAAGACCAACATGCAGGGTCAGCTCCAGGGCCGGGGGTGCTGTACAAGCATTTAGGAAAGGGTGTGCAGACAAGACAGTGTCCCGTTGCACCTCCCTTGATCCAGCCTGATAGAGCTGAAACCTGGTGATGGGTTTCAATGAAGCAAGGCCATTTGTGCAAGATGCAGTGGGATGAGGAAGCACAGCCTTGTCCTGGTGTTGAGAGAGGTGTCGTGCAGGACGGCATCTCCCAGGGGACCGCTGCCAAAAGCATTACAGGTAATCAGACTTCTACCAGATTAGGATGATTATCACCACAGAGCACCTTCAAAGAATTAAGAAGATGAAGGACCTTTGTGGACTTTGGCCAAGAGATGGCTCTGTGGTTTGTGTACCCCTGAGCCTCCACAGAGCCCACAGGGAAGCCCAGCTCCTTGCAGTGATGCAGCTGCCAAAGTACTGCTTGTAATTAATGACAGCTTTACTTCCTGGTAGAGACAGCCAGAGACACCAGGGGATGGATCCAGGCTTTGCAAGACATCCACAGAAGGAAAGTTGTCTCTGGGACAGTGAGAAGTGCCACGGTTGGCATGTCCATGATGAAGTCTTGAGCAACGTCACAGGCAGAAGATGACCTGAGTTTGAGAAAGCCTTCTAACCTTATTAGCACTGAAGACCAGGCCACCTTTATTGTAGACCCATTCATGGCCAACACATTCTGCCCAATGACCACCAGGTCAGGAGTTGAGAAGTAACGAGAAAGAGTGTGAGACACAGCACTGGAAGGTGCCCCCACAAATCCACAGTCAAAATTGTTTCCTTTTCTACACAGTTCAGTCAAATGACCCCGTTCAGATGTTACGCTCCAGATGTCAAGCGCTTTACTGAAATATTTGCCTTCAAGATACATGTGGCTCATTCTACACCCAGCACAACAGTTCTCTTTCCGTAAATCCTGCTAAAAGTTGAGGTTTGCATCAATGCCTCTGCAAGACTTTGTAAGATCAAATGCTGTGAAGCCTTGGTGCAACAGCCTCCCCTCTCCTCCCCACCCCCAAAGTACGGGGAAGTGAAAAAGCCAAGGGTAAAGGAGAGTGGGATGTGGGAATGGACATGGAAAGCTCTCAGGTCCCAGAGGACTCTGGCAAAGGACTTTTTGACGAAGAGCTGGGCCACGTTCAATGTCAAGCAGAGGCGAAAATGTTGCTGTGAACTATGTGTATCGATTAAATTGTTAGTAATTATAAAAAGAACCCTGAATGTCCTCTAATCAGATGTAGGCACTGACATTGCAGACACCCAGGAAAGGGCACATTTGTCTAAAATGCCACAGTGGATGCCAGGAATTGTCATGTAGCACAAGGGACAGCACTCCATGCAAGAACCCTCATGCACAGTCAGTTGCTCCAAGCCTCCTTATGTGGTCAAAAATACACTTTGATCCACTTGCATCTTAATGAATGAACAGATAACTGAATGAAAGAGAGAGGGAGAAAGCAAGAGAGGAAGAGAGGAAGAGAGGAAGGAAGGAAGGAAGGAAGGAAGGAAGGAAGGAGGAATGAGGGAGGAAGAAGGGAGGGGGGAAGGAAAGAACTCTGGTGAATTTTAGAAGATTCAGACTAAATTCAGTTCCTGGAAAAACATTGAGCACAAACCCAATACTTCTATTTGTAGCCACCTAGGGGATAACATGCAAAGTGTTGTCAACGAACACGGGTTTATTTGGATTAACTATCAAGTGAGTAATTGACTGTGCAAACACAAACCAGGAATTACTGGCCAGACTCGCCACAAGCAGGAAGAACCTCAGGATCAGGAGCAAAGCACAACAGGCTGTGGCTCAACACCCTATGGGTGTTGTGAAAAAAGCAAACCTCGCCTGAGCAAACCTTCTGGAACAGGGGGTCCCCCCATGTATGAGATGTCCCCGTGACCATCTTCTTTTTCCAAGAGTGCTGAGGTCTCTGCTCCACATCAGGGGCTAGGTGTGTGCATCAGCTTGCAAGAAGGGAGTTGGCCAACTGTTGGCCTGCTGGAGACTGGCCAGAAGGGAGGCACTAACAGCTATCTGAGGATAAAAAACAGGACAGAGATGGAGAGACTGAAGATGTCCTCAGTGGGCAAAAATGAAAACTAAGCAAACAGATGAGAATGGTAACATAGGGAGCTCATCTGTAGGCTGAGAGAGTTTGGGTTGTTCAGCACGGAGAAGACAAGGCTCCAGGGAGACCTTCCTGTGGCCTTCCAATACTTAAAGGGGGCTTATAAGAATGATGGGGACAAACATTTTAGCAGGGCATGTTCCAATAGGAGAAGGGGTAATGGTTTTAAACTAAAAGAGGGTAGATTTAGACTAGATATAAGGAAGAAGTTTTTTCAATGAGGGTCTTGAAACACTGGAACACAGAGGTAGTAGATGCACCATCCCTGGAAACATTCAAGGTTAGGTTGGACGTGGCTCTGAGCAACCCAATCCAGTTGAAGATGTCCCTGCTCATTGCAGTGGGGTTGGACTAGGTGACCTCTAAAGCCCCTTTCCAACCCAAACTGTTCTATGATTGATCTGCTCTCAGTTAGACGCAACGCTCTCCACCACCACACACAGCTTTGAAACTGAATTTAATATGGACCTGACTTAAACTTGTGCTGATCTCAAATGTCTTAGAGAAGGCACGGTT